GATTATATCCAGCCTCTCCCGTGTAAATTCTTGACAGAAGACATCGACTTCCTGGAACGAAAGGGGGCCTTGACTATACCCAGTGATTCTCTTAGGAATGAGCTGCTTAAGAGTTACATCCAATATGTGCATACATATATGCCTCTACTTGACCTGGACGATTTTCTACGTATAATCATGCGAAATGATGCATCACGGAGATTGAGTCTTTTGTTGTTCCAGGCAGTTATGTTTGCCGGAACTGCATTTGTCGATATCAAGCATCTACAGGCTGCTGGGTTCGAGTCGCGGAAGACTGCTCGCAAAGCTTTCTTCCAAAAAGCAAGAGTATGTATAGAAGGATCCCACAGGTAACTATAGAAATCAATTACTGATTGACATAGCTTCTATATGACTTTGATTACGAGTCCGACCGGATATCTCTTGTCCAGTCGATACTTCTCATGACGCATTGGTATGAAATGCCGGATGACCAAAAGGATACATGGCACTGGATGGGCGTTGGACTTTCTCTTGCTCACACCATCGGCCTCCACAGAGATCCGGCAACTTCAAACATGGATGCAAAACGACAGAAGCTTTGGAAGAGAATATGGTGGAGTACCTATACCCGCGACAGACTCATCGCTCTGGGCATGAGAAGACCTACCAGAATCAAGGACGAAGATTGCGACATGCCCTTGCTGACGATTGATGATTTTGATATCGCCCCCTTTTCCACCGAAGTCCTTCAGGTTCTAGGAGACTGTGAGTTGACTCATAATGTCAGGTATCAGAAGGACCTTGCCATGATGTTTATTGAGAAAACAAAATTATGCTTATGTATCAGTCACGTCCTGTCAGCACAGTATTCTGTCCTTGGTCATAAATTTGGCGGCACAACCGAAACCACTATGATGTTGGTGCCGAAAAAGACTGCCACGGAAGCTTGTGAAGTTAGAGCATGTGATATCGAGCTTGAGAGTTGGAAATCCGGACAGCCGGATGTGACCGTGTATCGCCCTTCGACTTCATGGAGCCTATCTCGTGGGGAAGAAGTGCTTCACCTTCATCGCGGCCTGCTCCAGATGATATATCTGACTACCTTGAGTGCCCTACACCGACCACAGGTCCTACCGGCTAACTCTACGACCACGATCGAAGCAGAACTGCAATCCTTTTCTCGAGCGAAAGTCAGACTTGCGGCGGTGGAAATCACAAAGGTTGCTCAGGAGCTACATACTCTGGATTTGACGCGATACCTACCAACAAGCGGTGTTACTGTTCTCCTTCCGGCTGTCATCATACACTTACTCGATATCAAGTCAAGTGACATCAACCTCCGATCTGCGAGTCTCGGACGATTTTATCAGTGCATGCAAATACTGCAACGTTTACGCGAAATATATGCATCTGCCGATTTTGCAACCTCGTTCCTTGAAGCTGCTATCCGTAAAGCAGGCGTTCACATAAACATCGAGCCAACGGAGCAGGAGAAGCAGCCACAAAGGGTCAAACCCGAACAACCAGTGAACACCCTTACACCTCCACCGGATCCGAGCCCGGAATGCTTCATAGATCCAGTTTTGTCATTAAAGTCTGACCTGGGTAACGTCGAACAGCCCGTCGATACCAACAACTTCGGCGTTGTTGTTTCGACTCCTCCAAATTCAGCAAGCAGTGAGAATGGAAGCCTGCAAAATATAAACCACGATACTACTGTGGATGATATTTTGAACTCCAGCACCGATCCCTCGGAGCCCAGTCTAGCTGAATTCATGACCCTCGCGCACGAAGCTGATATTACTCAAAACGACTTAGATGCGTTGATCAACTTTGACGAAAACACTGCTACGGATTTCTTGACCACAGATGATGCTATCAATGCTGCCTTCACTCTACCTGAGCTTGGGGATGATTTTATCAAGGGAGAATTTGATGATAACGATAAAAAATTAGAGGAACTCAAGGAAATTGAGACTACGGATTTGGGTATGGATATAGACGGTCAGGCTTGGCTTCACGACCCTTAGATATAGAGGATATGACACGAGGATAATGTATATAAAAATACCTTTAGAAATGTCCCCTGTTGATGTCCTTAATTTTTCTTGGTTCAAGAACTGTTCCTCTTCCTTAGAATTATGTAAAGAGTAACCAGGAAGTACTCCATATTCCCATGTGGATTACTTCTACAAAGACTCTAGATACTTAGGCCCCGAAGTAAGGTTAGCAACAATTTTTCAAGCATTGGATATAGGATTGGCCTTAAGACTACGTTAAAGTGAAGGAGATTTATAAAGCGAATTTTTTTTTTTCTTGAATTTTTCATCCTTAGCTGTAAGAAAGACTAAGGGCTAGAACAAACAACTTTGATGGCTTCTTTGGCAGAGGAAAAATTTCCAATGCCCTGAGCATAAACATGAGGATGAAAGATCAAGATAAAGTCATCAGAACGGGACTTGTATCAAAGAGTAAAAAAAGGAGAGAACAACCTATAGCTGTAAGGGTAGTAGTGCTTAAGTATCAGGAAAGCTTGATGGGGCTGAAACAAAAGCTGTAAGTGATGGACTACCTACCACGCAGCTCCATAGCAGCAGCGGTAGAAACTTCCTCCAGGTCCTCATCAGAGAACTTCAGATCTTTCATGATGTCAGTGATGTCTTTGATTTTCTTCCAGACAACGGGTGCGGCAATGATCAAAGAGCTTGCAAGGAGAACCCAGTTAGAAATGAACATTGCGCGGTAAGAGACACCGAGACTATCAATTCTATAGATAAAGTTGTTAGTGATGCACTAATAGTGTATATAAGAAGTTAGAATACATACCGCCACGCAATAGCTGCACCAGCAGATTGAATACCTTTGTAGAAACCAGCGAAGTTGGCAAGTTTGCGGGAGTTATTAGTCAAGGCACCCATGAACCTATTCAGGGGTAGAGGTTGTTAGTCATTATAGGACAGATTAAAAAGATTGGGAAGGGAAAACAACATACCAGTAAGCACAGGTCTGGAAAGCAGCATCGTAGAATCCATAGAGCATGTAGAGGACCATTGGTTCAGCATAGTTAGGGTCAGTCCAGTCCATACGGTTGGTCTCAGTGACATCAGCACGGTCATATTGTTTCTGGTTAAACCATCCATCACCCCAGATTGCCATGGTAATAAGGAAGAGGGAAACGAGAGAATAGCGGGCGCGGATTGAACGACGAACACGAGGAGCATCAAGACTGTAACCAAAGACAAAGGCGCCGATCATCTGGGAAATCCAGTAGAGAACATTGTTCAAGGCACGGGTACGAATATTGAACTTGGCCAAGTTGACGGCATTAAATTGGTAAGTAGTAAACCAGTTGCTGGCAAAGAACATGGGGAAGAGAGCAATGATGTACCAGTCAGACTTAAGAACGGTGACAAGGCCGATGAGTTCAGATTTCCAGGATGGGTTCTTCATGAGGATGACACGGGTGCCATCTGAACGCTTGATGTCTCTAGCATTGACAAGAGCAAAGCCAAGGAGAAAGCCAACGAACATGAGGACCATGAACAAGATGTAGGTGCTATCCTGAACAGAGTTGGACTTATTGTGAAGATTGTTGGCAAGGGGAACCTTCGAGTAGAAGATTAGCATTGCCATGGACTGCATTGCTGGAAAGGAGGATTACTTACCAATGAGCCAATGACACCGCCCAAGTTGAAGATAGCCCAGAACCAGGAGATGAATTTGCCCTTAGAGTACTCATCAGGGTAGCTCATCATGATAGTTCCCTGAGCAGTCCAAAGACAGGCGGCACAAACACCGAGGAGAGCTCCAGCAAAGATGAGGAAACCAGCATTCTTGTTATGGTTGTAGGACAAAATAGAGGCAACATAGAGGAAGTAGCCGAATCCACCAAAAGTAAGGGTGTAGCGAAGACCGAGCCGATTGGCAATAGAGCCTGCGAAGAAGGCCACAACAGCAAAGGTGCTGTAGAGGGCAACATTGGCTTTGTCGATATCATGAGGGTTAACAAGACCACCTGCACCAAGGCCACTAACAGCATTGAACATGCCAGGGCAAAGGAAGCAGACCAAGGAGACCAAGATAAGCTGTGCCACAGGAGATGCAAACCAGGGGGTATGGAAACGGCCAATTTTTAGCTGTCGATACATCCAGCGGGGGCCTATATGCTGGTATGTTCCCACGGGAATAGCTGCATCCGGACCAGAGGCTACAGAAGCCATCTTCACAGAAGGCTGTAGATGCGTGCTAATAATCAAAGAAAGGTGATATTAGCATGAGTCTGGACCTTATAGGTTAGAATAGATTATTTACTGTGTATGAAGAAGTTGTAGACCAGTAAACGACGCGTTTAGCAGAGCAGAAAAGGTGGTAGACGGGGTATAGTGAAAGAAGAAGGTGCTTGAAAGAGAGGGAAGAAAGGAAGAAGAAGTTGATGGTTAAAGAGATCTAAATAAAGAGGTAGGAGTGTGTGGCAGAAGATGAGAGAGGAGGATAGAATAGAGAGGGTAAAAGCAGTAAGCGAAGAAGTGAGAGCTCAAAGTGGAGGACACACATAGGAATAAGAGGAAAATAGCGCCAAAAAGGAGGCTATAGGATGCACTCTACATGATTCCTCACCTCACTTTGAAAAACAGGGGCTGGACTCTGTCCTTAGCGCCATTTCTATAGCAACAGGACAGAGAGAAGGGTGAGAAGGTTATGTAAAGCAGTTCACATCATTCTACCAGGACAACTAGAATGTTCCATAAGATATCTGATAACTAGGGTATATCATTAAAGAGTGGCAGTTTCTTTATAGTAGTTCTCTTGGCTACCATATTAAGCTATTCAACTCCTCCCTACATGGACTTTGCCAGCAACTTCAAGCCAAGGTAGACGGAAGATATTGAGGATATCAAGCAACCTCAGACCATACAGGAAATATCCCAGTATCTATACGAGTTATAGATAGATGGCTATATACCTGAAGATATATGCATTGGTATGCATATACTGACATGGCACAGGTGTCAAGTGGTTATCCGCGCGTCTAAGCCGGTAGCAAGCGCCACTAGCTCGGGCCAACCCCTGGCCTAGTGCCCGCGGCTATCTGGGGTATCAAAGCTTGCCTTCAACTCCGCAAAGTCAACCTCGTTCTCGGCATAATATTAATTATCGGGAAGTATGGGAACGCCGGCTTGGGGTATATCAGCGACAGTAACGTCCACTTGCTATGGTACCACCCACCCCTCATGATGGTTGCCACGCCAGGGTCATCCCCCCACCACGTATCCTCGTATATGCCTACACCTTCAGTTTCCCCTTGGGTTGCAGAGCGTCTGGGGTGTTATCCTCCTATCCCCCTCCATCTTGCTGCGACGTCAAAACTTCCTTTTTCCGTCTTTGGTTGCATCAAGGGTCATGTGATCGCTGAGTCAGAATCATGGGTACTGTGGTATGTATCGTATTTTTAATTCCGGAGGTTACCATACGATACCGTCTTTAAAGCCGTATCGTCCGTGTTTCGCGTATCGATCCACCCAAAACGGCAAAAAATAAGGTTCTTATGTCGCATTTATGACTTCATTGCTTGAACAGGCAGAGGGCTGTTTGGATGCGACGGCAACTTCGAAGCTCTCTGCTAGATGGAACAGAGGATGGCTCAACCCAAGGACGGCGACAGCATCTGCTCCAATGTAAGCCGCCTATTGGAGGGTGTTGGGGCCAATGAAGGAAAACCCGGGAAGGCAAACAATACCAGAGACATATAACCTCGTACATTCGTCCCATGGGGTTCAAGAGCTTTGTCGTAGTTCGGTCTTCCGACTGCCACCACACACTTTCAAGTCAAAAACATCTCGACCCTCTGCCCGTCTTCTTCATCATAAAAGGTTGCGCATCTCCGCTGGTATAAGATAAACCGACGCCATGCCGTCGATTACCAGAGAAGTTCTTGCTCCCCGGGTCACCAAGTTTACGAACTGCCGTGTACCCAGCGGGCAGAAGCTTATCGAACAAGATCTCTGGGTTGACTCTATCTCTGGCAAGATCTTGCAGGGCCAACGTGCCTTTTATGAAGATAAGGTGTGTCCAGACCAGGTCATTAATCTGGGCGGACGTATCCTTGCACCAGGGTTTATCGACGTGCAGATAAACGGGGCAAACGGGTTCGATTTCTCGGTCCCTCAGCCGACGAAAAAGATGTTCGATGATGGACTGAGGGATGCTGCTCAGACATTGGTGAAGATGGGAGTGACATCCTACCTGCCCACGGTCACCAGCCAGAGTAAAGAAGTATATCCAAAGGTGGGCCATCTTCCATCCAGCCGGGTATAACATTGACTGATATTGGACAGGTCCTACCATCCCTAGGGCCATCAGGTCATCGCCGTCGGGCAGAAGATGGCGCAGAGTCCCTCGGCGCCCACGTTGAAGGTCCGTTTCTCAGCCCAGGAAAGAATGGCATACATAATCCCGAAGTCCTCATCGCTGCAAACGACGTCAACGACCTCATCCAGTGCTACGGGCTAGTAAACTTCTGCAAGAACCAAACTCCTCCAGACCGCATGCCTATCAAGATGATAACTGCCGCTCCTGAGGTGGGCAACATGTTATCTCTTATCCCGGTAATCCAGTCACAGAACATCCTCTATTCGATTGGCCACTCGGACGCAACATACGAACAAGCCATGGCGGCAGTTTCAAATGGAGCGACCATGATCACACACATGTTCAATGCCATGAGACCCTTCTATCACCGTCATCCAGGTATCTTCGGGCTTCTGGGCCAGTTTGAACAGCACCGTCCGTACTACGGTATCATTGCGGATGGAATTCACTTGCATCCCACCAGCATCCAGATAGCATACAACGCCCACCCGGCTGGCATGATCCTTGTGACGGATGCAATGAAGCTATGCGGTATGCCTGATGGTGTCTACGAGTGGACCAACGGTGACCAAATCGTGAAGAAAGGCGCCATGCTCACTCTGGAGGGATCAGAGAAGCTTGCCGGAAGTTCAGCCACTTTGATCGAGTGTGTGAACAACTTCCGCCGATGGGCTGGGGCCAAGACTGTCGAGGCAATTGCTGCTGTCACCGAGACTCCGGCGAAGATGTTGGGTATATTTGATAGGAAGGGTACCTTGGCTCCGGGAGCAGATGCGGACCTTGTGGTACTTGGAGAAGACAGGCCTGCCGATGGAGATATGGGCACACTGACTGTCGACCAGGTGTGGAAGTTCGGTGTCAAGGTGTTTGACAAAGAGAAGGCTTGAAGAGCTGGTTTCTACCCTTGTATTTCATTTTGCATTGACACTCGCTTGCATTGATCCCGTGTTTCCAGCATGAACGCATGTTAAATAGCTACAGTTTACTTCTAAACTTGATTATGAGGTTATGATAGATGACAAAAGTGTATAATGATAGATGATATTCAGCAACTGCATCGCGTCTTTCCTTCCCGTATATTCGTTGAATTTGGCGTCAAAATAAGGTCACTTTTATAATACCGTCTAGCCTTAATGGGACTAGCTTAAATAGTACTTTCCGCTAGTCCCAAAGGAGTGCTGTTCCGGAAGCGGCAAAGTCAATACCGAAAGTAGTTAGCGTAAAGCGTCCCATGGGACAAAAGGGGAAAATATTTTCAGTCTAGCCGGATTTAGACCGCGGCCAGGTCCGAAAACGGATTTTCTTTATCGATAACCAAAAAGTGGGGCTTTTTATATCCTAATTCCGGATAATGTATCTTTGTAACACGGTACGCAAAAGTTCGAATTACCATTGTATTACCATCTATTATCTTCGCCTTCGCTTCATACTGCAAAAGATGAGATTGTATAGACATAACATTCGTTGTTGCTTCTCTATATATCAAGGATCTAATTCTGGATCCCAAAGCCAGGGAAATGTTAAAGAAAAGAAAAGACATGCTGCCCGGATGGTATATATATATTCAAAAATGTGAAAAGACACCAGAACTGTTTTAGATCAACTCGTTAGAATAGGTGGTTTTCGTCGTGAACAGTGGTTTACAGACGAGAGGAGGATGGGCGCCATCCTGCTTCCTCGGCAATCAGCTCAGCTGCGCGCTCACCAACGCCTAGGACAGTAAGCATGGGGTTGATGCTAGGCATGTCAGGGAAGACGCCGGCGTCTGCGATTCTGACATTCTTGAGTCCACGGATCTTGAGGGTTGGGTCGACGACGGCCATACGGTCGTTCTGGACGTCACCCATCTTAGTGGTGCCAGCAGGATGGTAGACGGTGTGATGGACGGATCGGCCGTAGGCGCTCAATTCCTCGTCTGTGGTGGTGGCTGGGCCCGGGGCGACTTCACGCTTGATCCACTTCTTGAATGGCTCTTCCTCGGCGATCTTACGGGCTGCCTTGAGACCTGCTACGATGGTAGCGGCGTCGTAGCCCTCTGGGTCGGTGAAGTAGCGGAAGTCAAGGGCTGGCTTGACGGTTGGGTCGGCGGAGGTGAGGTAGAGCCTGCCCCTGGAGCGGGGACGGGGGATGTTGGGGGTGACGCAGAAGGCGTTGGCGGGGACGTCGTAGCCGAGACGGCCGGTGTGGATGCCGAATGGGATTTGGTAGCAGTGCATCATGATGTCGGCGCAGTCACCATCGAACCCGGCTGCGTTGATGGGCTCGCGGCGAAGGAAGACACCTGCATCGGAGTCCATGGTGGTTTGGTTTGGTGGAACGGGCTGGTTGAGCTCCCACATGATGATGGTTTCGGGGTGGTCGACCAAGTTCTCTCCCACGCCAGGCACGTCCTTGACGACGGGGATGGAGAGCGCGGAGAGCTGCTCGCGTGGTCCAATGCCAGAGAGCAGGAGGAGACGGGGGGTGTCGATTGCGCCAGCGCAGAGGATGGTCTCCCGCTTGGGGCAGAGGGTCAGTTTGGCACCCGACTGGAGAGTGACGTTAACTCCGGTCACGGTGTCTCCGCTGACATTAACCTTGGATACCCAGGCGTGAGTCAGGACGGTGAGATTGGGCTTCTTCTCCGCTCCGCTGAAGACGGGGTGGATGTAGGCAACGCTGGCACTGCTGCGGCGGCCGTCATCCGGGTTATAAGACACCGAGAAGAAGCCGGTTCCCTTGGTCAGTCTGCCCTCAGAGCGAATGGCCTTGTTAAAGTCGGGAATAATGGGGACGTTGAGCGAGGTCGAGCAGGCCTGCACCCAGTCCTTGCAGAGCTGGTTGCGATGCCTGGCGTGGATGGGCTGCACGGTGTTGCGGAGATTATCGATCACACGAGTGAAGGTGTCGAAGCTCCAGCCCTTGCAGCCTTTGCTCTCCCACACTTTGCAGTCGTATTCAAAAGGACGGAAGGAAATTAGGGTGTTGTGGCTTGAGCAGCCTCCCAGCACCTTTGCCCGAGAATGGCGGATGTGGCTGTTACCTGCACATCAATGTCAGCTTCTTCCCGCTCGTCTCTTCTGCCAATAAGTCGATGCCTGCAAACTTACCCATGGGCTGTTCGGTCGTGCCATAGTCGTAGTCGAATTCACCGCCCAGCAAGCCCAGCCAGTCCTTCAGCTTCAAAACACGGTCGTCCATGTAGTCGCTAGGGCCGGCCTCGATGAGCAGGATCTTCTTCCGTGGAAGATACTCCGCCAGCCTGCTAGCAATCACACAGCCGGCAGTACCACCGCCAACAATGACATAGTCGTAGCTGTCGGCATCTGCCGGGGCAATATGAGTGACTGGACTGGCCATTTCAAACAGGTGTATAGTCGAATCTGGGAGGCAAAGGGAACACAAGCGTACTCCGAGTTGCGAGTCGGCAGTTGTAACTAGTTATCCAAAAGAGCGGTGCGAGCAAGCCCCTGGCGGCAATGACTTGTATCAGGATGGATGGAACAGGCACCAGGAGAGGAGGACCCTGAGGCGGCGGTTCCCCTGATATATATAGAGCCCTATAAATGACCTGATTCCTTCGACCGCCCCGTCCACGACGGAAGGGTAGACAGAAAAAGATAAACTGCTCGCCGAGAAACGAACTCTGGATAACCTCCAGCTCGTTTTCTCCATCGACCTCTCCCTGCGGCACCAATCACGGCCATCTTGCAGCGTCTCCACAGGCGGCGAGTTGGAGATCGAATCCCTGGCCACCGGAGTCTTTGGACATGCTTCCGCGCCATCGCTCGCTGCGAGAGCTTGCACCGGACTGGACAAGGGCCTTCGAGCGCGCAAATCATGGCATCGAGCTGGGTCAAACGGCGCTTCGTATGGCCAGCAATTGTCCAGAGTCGATGCTGGGGTCGGCAGCGATCTAGCGTAGGGATACCCGTTGACCATAGACAGTTGAAACTGCCCCCCCCCCCCTCCTCTCCCCCAATTGACCGCTGCAAGCCTTCGAGGCCGTTAGGGTCCGTCTTCCGCCTTCGTTTTCGTCTGTTTCTAACTTTTGCGCCTCCTCCACTTGTTCCGCTGGGTGGGATGACGGTGTCGCCAGATCTGCCCGGGCGATATATGGGCCTGTCCCCTAGGGTTGCTCTGAAACCGAGACTTCGGAGATGGCCCTATTTTCGTTTCTGCTTAATTTCCTCGCGGCCAAGACGAAAAGGAAGCTGGTCGCATGCAGAGTGACATCACAGTGAGGGGCTCTTCGGCTTTTGCTCGATCTTGAAGCTGTCTTGCTGCTCGTCTGTTTGCTGGTTGTTCCATCGCTGAAGTTGCGAGGAAAAGTTGAAGCCGACGAGATGTCGTTCAAGCCGCAGCGTCTCTACTACGACGGCCAGCCGCAGGCCAGCACCTCGAACAAGACTTTCCAGAGCGTCAACCCGGCGACGGAGGAAGTGCTCGCAGACGTCGGCGTGGCCTCGAATGCTGATGTCGACCAGGCCGTGAAGGCAGCGCAGAGGGCGTTCCCGGCGTGGTCGAGGACGCCGCATGTTGCCCGCGCCCGCATCCTGCTCAAGGCCGTCCAGCTGCTGCGCGAGAGGAACGACGAGATCGCCCGGGTCGAGACGGCGGACACAGGCAAGCCCTTCTCGGAGACGAGCACGGTCGACGTGACGACGGGCGCTGATGTGCTGGAGTACTTTGCCAGCATGGTGGCCGGCGGCGGGCTCAACGGCGAGACGGTGCAGCTACGAGACGACGCCTGGGTCTACACGAAGAAGGCCCCCCTGGGCGTGTGTGCTGGCATTGGAGCATGGAACTATCCCATACAGATGTGAGCTCGTCCTCCTTACCACGTCTATGGCCGTCGCTAACTACCTGGTTTCATATAGAGCGCTGTGGAAGTCAGCTCCCTGTCTGGCTGCCGGCAACACGATGGTCTACAAGCCCAGCGAGTTCACTCCGCTGCACGGCGAGATCCTCGCAGACCTGTACACGCAGGCCGGCCTCCCAGCAGGCGTGTTCAACGTTGTCCACGGTGCGGGAGACGTCGGCGCCTATCTCACCGCACACCCGGCGATCGCAAAGGTCTCGTTCACCGGCCAGGTAGCCACTGGCAAGAAGGTCGCTGGCTCTGCGGCCGGATGCATGAAGTACGTCACCATGGAGCTGGGCGGGAAGAGTCCCTTCATCGTGCTGCCAGACGCCGAGCTAGACAGTGCCGTTGACGGGGCCATCCTAGCAAACTTCTTTAGTACGGGCCAGGTCTGCACGAACGGGACTCGAGTGTTCGTTCCCTCGAGCATGAAGACGGACTTTGAAAGCCTGCTACTCAAGAAGATGCAGTACGTCCGGGCCGGCGACGTGATGGACCCAGCTACCAATTTCGGTCCATTGGTGTCTGATGTTCACTACAAGAAGGTGACGGACTACATCAGACACGGCATTGAGCAGGACAAGGCCAAGTTATTGTACGGCGGGCTCGAGAAACCCAAGGCCAGTTCCTCCTCTGCATCGTTTGACAAGGGGTACTGGATCACACCCACCATTTTCACCGACTGCCGGGACGAGATGAAAATCGTCCAGGAAGAGATATTCGGCCCCGTCATGTCGATTCTCTACTACGAGACGGTCGACGAGGTGGTCAGACGAGCGAACGAGACGCCTCTTGGTCTTGCGGCTGGCGTCTTCACACAGAACATCAACCTTGCTCATCGGGTAATTGACCAGCTCGAGGCCGGTATCACATGGATCAACTCGTGGGGGGAGTCCCCGGCTGAGATGAGCGTGGGCGGATGGAAGCAGAGCGGCGTTGGCGTTGAGAACGGTCGACGCGGGATTGAGGCTTGGGTCAGGACGAAGAGCACCCTGGTTGATATGAGCGGTGTGGTAGCGACCAGCTTTACGAAGCTGTAGCTAGTTTGACTACCCGGATGCTGATTGCTGATCCAGTTGGTTGACCCGGCGATATACCTGGCTTATAGGCGGGAGACGGCAGGCAGGTGAACGGACTAGCACACCGCTCAATACCCAATTGAATGAATATAGTTAAAAAGACTGCAAAAGTGTTAAGCAGTAGTAAATAGTACAAGCAGATAAAAGCGACCAATCTCTAATGCTCTTTTTCTGTTGCAAATGCTGAAAATGCTGGACGAAACGCTAAACATATGCAAAACACATAATATACATCAAACATCACACGTAAACCACTCCAAACACAAAGGCTAGTATACCCATGTACAGACTAATTTGGATATAATGATAAATACTACAATGCTATGTTAAATGATCGAGAAGAAAAAAAAGACCAGCCTATACTTCACTTTCGTCCCGTCATGCAAATCATCAATCTCATCCCTGTGTGGGAATTCGAGAGCCCATGCGGTCGAAAATCAGATCTCCACCACGGTTCATGGTTTCATCCAGGCCCGCAATGGCAGAGTCGACGATGCGCGAAGACATGCTGTCGGGCGTGAGCTCGTCCGGATCGCTATCTTTGGCATTGAAGGCAGTGTCGATTTTGAGGCCTTTTCTCGAGCCGACGGGGGTGCTGAGGTCTGCCGGTGGAGCCACGGGCACGTATGGCTTTGTGAATTGAACGAGGGGAGGGCCCTGAGTGCGTGCGTCGGTACCGGAGAGCTCGATACTTTCAAAGTACTTGCATATTGTTAGACGGTTGACTATATATAAGGTGAAGTGGGCAGACATACCTTGACTGTTTTCACCTTTAGCTCGAGAGTTGCATCTTCATCAGCTACGATGAGAGGGTGCTGGTGTAGCTGGAGAGCGGAGAGGGTCCACATATGGTTAACGCCTCCTTCAATGCCCTTTTGCAGGGCCTTAGCTTTGTGTACGCCAGTCACGACGATGACAACCTCTCGCGCATCCATAATGGTCTTGATGCCGACTGTCAGTGCAGTGCGAGGCACTTGGGACAGATCATTGTTGAAGAAGCGGGAGTTGGCAAGGATGGTGTCGTAGGCCAGGGTCTTGACTCTGGTGCGAGAACTGAGACTGGATCCAGGTTCGTTAAAGGCAATGTGACCGTCTGGACCAACTCCACCTAGGAAGAGGTCGATGCCGCCTGCTTTGGCGATCTTTGCCTCGAAGTTTTGACATTCTTTGGTAAGATCAGGGGCATTTCCATCTAGAATGTGGATGTTTCGGGGTGGTATGTCGATATGGGCAAAGAGATTGTTGTACATGAAGCTGTGGTAACTCTGCGGATGGTCCCGAGGCAATCCAACATATTCATCCTAACATTTTTTTTCTTTAGTTTAGATCTTCTCCTACGTAGAGAGGAGTCAACATACCATGTTGAATGTAACAACATTTTTGAAGGATATCTGGCCAGCTTTGTACCGCTGGACTAGAATCCTATATACGATCTCGGGACTGCTTCCAGTCGGCAAGCCAAGCACAAACGGCCTAGCAGTCGATGGTGAAAACGCATTGATGCGGCCTATGAATATATTAGAGAGGTCTATGTCAAGCAGAGTACAAAAAATAGGCGGAGGATAGACATACTGACGATGTAGTCTGCTATGTATTCAGACACAGCCACCGGGTCCTTTCTGATGATCACTCTCCTAGCTGCCGTCAGTATATAGCACTCAGCGCATAATCAGGGAGTGAAACTCACATATTGACTTGACTATACTCTTTCAGCTGAAAAAGCGTAATCTATGGTAGAGGTTGGGCTTGAAGGAGAGGATATAGGCCGGAACGAAGCAGCGATGAGTGCTCATATATGTTTTACCAATTTGACCACAACCCAACGTCATCCCTCCGGAGCCAGCATTTCTCGGTCCTGGATCATAGTTTGCTTTGCACTGTAACCCGAACCAAAGGTAACATCTTCCTGAGCGCGTGATGCTACTCCGTATACATTGACAACTCAATAAGTATACTCCAGAGGAGACTCCCCTCCTGCTGTGCTTCTATCAGGCGGGGGATCAAGGTTGGTGCCCTGACCCCCGATTTCAGGCCTCTCCGGGCTGCCCTCCATATCACTGACGATCGTGTCTTCTTGCCATCGCCATCCTGTTGTCGTCGTTGCTGCAGTCACCCTGCAGGTTTATGCATCTCGAGGTATCAGGTCGAGGCCGAAGAAGTAGAGGAACTGCGGTAAGTTAGAGCTAGTATCGGCTGTATCGGGGCGGTATCCAAGATTACGCCGTAATGTAAATACGCGAGCTTACACTGCAACGTCGCATCAAGTCGATGAGTCGAAGAATGTGAAGACTTCCCGTTGTTGTACTTGGACTATCTGTACCATCGATAATGTTTGCCGGGGCTGTTGATCTCTAGAGCGAAGTTGAAGATGTGGAAGTTCGACTTTTGAAGTTGAACGTCGAAGAAGAAGAAGAAGGAGAAGGAGGAGACGAAAGAGGAAATCTTAGTCAGTTCTTAGTAATAGTATTATTTTATCTTACTAATTTCTTACTCATCCAAACATTACTCATCTTTTAGTCCCTTTTAACATCTTACTAATTATCTTACTAAGCAACCTTCTTTGAGCTTCTTTCTAGCCTTTTTGTCGCTTTCTCGACTTCAACTCCAGCTTTTGCTGTGAATCTATGCGATTTGCAGCCTCATTTTGCGGCTAAAAAGACGGTCTCGACGCACTTACGTGCATGCTGGACGCCGTCGACCTGCACTGCGACCGTGACAGCCAACCAGGGCCTGTGACAGGTCGTCACCGAGGGTTGCGTTGGGCTCCCCTGGCCGCCAGCTCCGTCCGGCCCCCGAGTTACCTAGTTACCCACTCCGCCGCCTCACTCGCCCGTCCCATCCATCGATCGATCGATCGCAGCGTCTCTCCAGGGCGCCAGATACGCGCAGACGAATACACACACAGGCTCGCCTGCAATTGATTTACACACGCTACGGCGCACAGTCACATCGCTGGTGGCGTGGGGGGAGAGGCACGGGGTGCCTGGCCTGCCATGGCGGCCAGAGCAGACATGGCAGCCCCTGAGTGGGATGCAAACCTCAGGTTCGTTCGACGGCCCTTGCTTTGTACCTTTTCGCTTTGGCCCTGTTGTGCTTTGGGATGCTGGCAGCTTTATACCAGCTTATACCTGCCATTGCTACGGTGCTACGGGCTGGCTCAAAAAAGCTTCAAGCTATGCTCCTAGACCAGAGTATATTCAACTGCGTGCGCTGTTGAATGCGCCGTGGATGCGACGAACACGCTACAGAGAGGGTACATTGGCTGACTTGAAGCTTCCGGCATCATCACGATGGTGCTGGATATCGGATACAGGCAAATGGGACAGCTTTTTGTCATGGGATTCGATGGTACCACCGTCGACCCCCAGATCCGCTCGCTGATTGAAGACTACCATCTCGGAGCCATCCTACTGTCAGCCAAGAACCTGAAGTGTACAATCATCCCTTCTTTCGAGCGTTGATTTACTTTTTTTTTGCCCACCCTCTCCTTCCCTCCCGTTACTTACGCATAGCTCTTATTTTATTGCGCCCCCATTACAACCGTCGTATAATTATTAGCCGCCTTGCTGTAAGGTACAAAAAACAAACTAACTCCCGGATAGCCGCAGATGAAACGGCAAAGCTCGTCCTGGAGCTTCAGACTATCGCCCGGCAGGCCGGCCATCAGTTACCGCTACTCATCGGACTCGACCAGGAGAACGGCGGTGTCAACAGTCTGTTCGATGATACATATATACGCCAGTTCCCCAGCGCCATGGGGGTCGCGGCCACAGGCTCGACAAAGCTAGCCAGAGAGGTAGCCAAGGCGACGGCACAGGAGCTTCGAGCTGTTGGAGTAAACTGGATCCTAGGACCGGTGCTGGACGTGCTGACAGACGGCAAAAACCAGCCGCTGGGGGTGCGCAGCGTAGGAGATGATCCGCAAGAAGTTGCCACGTACGGAGTCGAGTCGATGAAAGGGTATCAAGATGGAGGAGTGGCTACGTGTGGGAAGCATTTCCCTTCATATGGAAATCTGGAGGTGATGGTATCGCAGTCGGATGTCCCAGTCATCACAGACACGGTCGATCAGCTCCGGCTCAGCGCACTTGTTCCCTTCCGCAGCGCAATCTCTCAAGGGCTGGACTCGATGATTGTGGGCGGCTGTTCGATGATATCTCAGGGGATGAATGTGATGCACGCCTGCCTGTCCGAAGAGGTTATTGAGGACCTACTGCGGTCTGATTTGGGCTTCCAGGGGGTGGTTGTCTCCGACTGTCTAGAGATGGAAGCGTTGAGCAGCAATATTGGCGTTGGAGGCGGGACGGTGATGGCTCTCAAGGCCGGGTGTGATTTAGTGCTGCTGTGCAGGTCGTTTACGGTGCAGCAGGAGGCCATCAGCGGGCTGAGGCTGGGAGTCGAGAACGGGATGATAAGCAAGGAGAGAATACGGCAGTCTTTGGCCAGGGTATCCGCGATGAAAGCCAGGAGAACGAACTGGGAACAGGCCCTGAATCCGCCGGGAATCAGTCTGTTATCGAGACTACGGCCTTCTCATACAAACCTATCAATTCAAGCATACAACAGCTCGATAACGGTGGTCAGGGATAGGGGCAACCTGCTACCGTTGTCCAGCATACTCGAACCAGACGAAGAACTACTGCTTCTAACACCGCTGGTCAAGCCTTTACCGGCGTCTGCGGCGGCGGCAGCAACAACAGCAGCAGCAGTAGCAGCAGGCCATGCTAGTGGTGAGCGCAGCCGAGAGTCGACAAACTCAATCGACGCCTCCTCAAGCTCGATGTCGTCCAATATAAAGAGCGGCGAGGCGGTGTTCCGTGAACTGGGACGGTCCCTGGCCCGGCGGAGGAACGGACGGGTTCTTCACACATCGTACGGTGCGAGCGGCGTTCGGCCTATCCACGAGAACCTGATCAACCGGGCCAGCGCAGTGATAGTAGTTACAGCGGACTCAAACCGGAACCTATACCAGCACGGCTTCACCAAGCACGTCTCACTCATCTGCAACAACAGCTGCATGAACAGCAGTACCAACAATACCAGCAGCACACACAACAACAGCGCGAGACGGAACTCAGCGGGCTACCAGCGACCCAAGGCCGTCGTTGTGGTAGCAGTGAGCTCGCCGTACGACTTTGCCAAAGACCCGACGATCGGGACGTATGTGTGTACCTACGACTTTACAGATGCAGCTCTACAGGCGCTGGTGAGGGTGCTTTATGGGGAGGTATCACCTACCGGACGGATGCCGGGGACGCTGAGCAAGAGCACGGCACGACGAACGAGCCAGCCCCGGCAGCAGTGGCTGGTCGAGACTTGGAATGCGGAGCGAGACTCTGCCGCGCTGGACACCCTGCTGACGTCGATACGAGAGAGCGAGAGTGGTATTGGTGGTAGCAGCAGCAGCAGCAGCAGCAACGTCCACAACGAGATGGGGGCCAGCAGCAGTATCGACGGCAACAGCAACAGCATCAGCATCAGCAACAGCAGCAACAGCAGCAACAGCAGCAACAGCAGCAACAGCAGCATCCTGGCAAACGTGAGAGCGGATACCTTTCTGCTGAAGAGTGCGGATGTGCAGGAATGCCACCTGGTGGTGCGCAACAGCAGCACGCACGCGATCAACGGCTTCTGCGCAACCTACTTCTTCCGCTCGACGGGGACCGGGGTGATAGGCGCGATACTAGTTGACCCAGCGCGGCGCCGCTTGGGCATCGGCAGCTCACTCCACAGCCGAGCGATCCAAACACTCAGGCAACACCCGGACATCAAGCAGCTGCAGCTGGGATCTCGTCTGCCCGGGGTCTACCTTGGCATTCCCAGGACTGACCCGGTCGAGCGGAGGAGGCTTCGGCGCTGGTTTGCCAAACTGGGATGGTCGATGGCGCTCTCGCGGCCGCTGTGCTCGATGGTGCTGCGGGACGTGCAGAGCTGGGTGCAGCCAGACGGGCTGAAGGGCGGGAGAGGCAGCGGCGAGGTCGAGTACGACCTTGTGTTTGGCGAGGAGTACGCAGACACGGTGATCGAGCATGTGCGGACGAGCTCCAGGCAGGGGGTGGCGGAGGTGTACCGGACGGCGCTGGCGGGAGGGCCACACTGCGGCATCATACGAGCGAAGAAAGCTGGGGAAACAAGCATAACCTCTAATGCAAACGGGAATGCTGCATCTGCCAATAATAATAACAATAATCTCGTCAATGCAGGCTCTGAAGGAGATGGAGACGGGGAGATGGTGATTGACGGGCTGCAGCTGGGCCTGGAGGAGGACGGCCTGGCCAACGACCGACTCCACGGCCGACTCCACGGCCACAGCCATGGTCACGGCAACGAGACGCTGGTGGGCAGCGTGGTGGTGTACAATGCGCGGTCGTCGCTGGCTCGACTGGTGCCGGCGGTCAGGGAGGCTCGAGTGCGTGCTGGCGGCATCTCGTCGCCAGTGATATCTCCGTCTGTCGGAGAATATGCCATGCTGGTCCAAGGGCTGATCGTGCTGGGCATCAAGGAGATCCGCAAGCAGGGCGGCAACACCGTGATACTCGACTGCGTGAGTTCTCTCTTTTCTTCCTTTCTATCTTTGGGCTTCATTTCCATGATCTTGTATCTCGATCTGCCTTGTCGACTCCATCGTATCCATGTCCCTCGAATCAAGATGCGCCAGAGTACGAGAACGACCCGGTCTGGATAGAGGAGACTTTTCTCTTAGCCCGCGCTATTCTTAGCACCTCTGCACGCTCAGCCAGTAGTGTGATGATTATAACATGCTTTGACTGACGAAACGCAACTTGGACTAGGTTGACGGCGATGGCAACTCTGACAGCCTGACGGCGATGGGCTTCTCTGTGCTACACAGCTTCGAGGAGCTGACCTGTGACGCCGCCGCCTGGGGGCGCTGACCCTGACCGTACCTCGGCCCAGTCTCTTCCTTGTTTCCATACTGCCTACCTGTTTGTATGGCCAGCATCACCGCGGGAGTTCTTTTTCTTTTTGGCGTTTACTATATTTACATTTCAACATACAAGGAGGAGAGACGGCGAGCTCCGCATCGACTGCCATTCACCAAATATAAGCACTTACACGACTTATGCCTGCAGTTAATTCACCTGCTTGATCGAGTTAGCCCGGCAGCGGGGATTTTCGACTTTCAGCTTCCTGGCTTTGTTGCTTTTGAGCCGACGGCCCCTGGCCGGGCGAGGGCTATAAGAGGAGGCAGCTAAGATGGAGAAAAGGGACTAGGGAAAGCTTCTAGAAGAGCCAGCCCGGCGGCGAGAGGATGGCAGATGAAAGA